GTTTAATGTACATACCGGTACCGTAAATAAATAAGCCCTACCCTGAAAATAAGCCCTAGTTTGTTTTTTGTGACTAAAATTAATATAAGACCCGGTCTTATTTTCGGAGAAACACGGTATGTATAACAAAAAGTTTAAATATCCTCATATGTTCAGCAGACATGCACCTGATTAACAGGCTAGCACTACACAGCATGATACCTTAATTAGTTCCCTGTCAAGTTAATCTAACCACTGTGCCCTTATTTATATTATCCTGTGTAAAAAGGTGCAGCTAACTAGTGCATATACTCAGCATGTTTTCTTCCAAGCATGTCCGAATTGTGCAAACATGTGTACCTAACATTTTATTTTATTTTTATTGACATACTGCAGTTTAAAGACGTGCTGGGCTATAGATAAAAGCTTGTCCTACCAGATAATCTCTGTCCTGATGCCCATAGCAATATGTAACGTGCCTCCTGTACCTAACCGCCATGGGCGTCCGCAGGAGGGGGCAAGGGGGATTTTTCAGCTTGTGCTGCTTTTTTCGTGTGTGTGAAAATGAACTGCAATACCGGCGCCGGCCAGTAGGTGGCGCTGTGTATGGAGAGAGACAGGGATAGGAAGCTGCATCTTATCCCTGCTTCTCTCTGCTGATTGAAACCGCAGGGGAACAACACATGCAGCCAGAGACAGCCTACAGATCAGGTAAGTGAGGGATGGGGGGAGGGTTTGAGATAGCCTATAGATTTTTTTGGGGGGGCAGCAGCCTATAGATTTTTCGGGGGCAGCAGCCTATAGATTGGAATTTTTTGGGGGGGCAGCAGCCTATGGATTATTTTTAGGGCAGCCAGGCAGCCTATAGATTTGGGGAAGTAGGGGGCAGCATCCTGGGTAGGGGAGAGAAGGGCATCCTATAGATAGAGTAGGGCAGCAGCCTATAGGTAAGTGAGGCTGGGGGCAGCAGCCTATAGATTGAGAGTGAGGGGGGCATCTATAGATTAGGGGAGGGGGGCAGCAGCCTATAGATAGGAGTGCAGTCTATAGGTAGGGGTGTGGGGGACAGCAGGGCATCCTATAGATTAGGGAGTGAGGGGGGCAGCAGCCTATAGATTAGGGGAGTGAGGGGGGGCAGCAGCCTATAGATTAGGGGAGTGAGGCTGGGGGGGCAGCAGTCTATAGATTAGGGGAGTGAGGGAGGCATCCTATAGATTAGGGGAGTGAGGGGGGTAGTCTATAGATTAGGGACTGCAGGGATAAGATGCAGCTTCCTATCCCTGTCTCTCTCCATACACAGCCGGTATTGCAGTTCATTTTCACTCACACACGAAAAAAGCAGCACAAGCTGAAAAATCCAGGGGGAGGCAAGTGCCCCCCCTTGCCCCCCCCTGCGGACGCCCATGGCTGGGGGGCAGCAGAGGGTGTTTGTGTGTGCGTGTTTGTTCGGGTCCTGTTTGTGTGCTGTTTGTGTGCTGTGTGTGGGTGTTTTGTGTTTGTCAGGGTGCTGTTTGTGTGTGAGTGTGCTGTTTGTGTGCGGGTGTTGTGTGTGGGTTTTGTGTGTTTGTGAGGATGCTGTTAGTGTGCTGGGTGCTGTGTGTGCGAAGGTGAAGTATGTGTGTGGGTGCTGTTTGTGGGCTGTGTGTGCTGTGTGTAGGTACTGTGGGTGTGTGCTGTATGTTTGGGTGGAGTGGGGGCAGATTAGTTAATATCCCAGTCCTGCTGCCTTCCCTGGTGGTTCAGTGTAGAGTGAGCTCTAGCCCGGGTTCTCTGCTGCCATCCTCCATGCTGCTGTGGACCGGTGAGGTAGAACTTTGATCTCCCCACCGGCCCATGGAGGCTTAGACCAGAGCCGCCGCTTGGATAGCGTCGGCTCTGCATGAGCCGACTGGGGAGATCCAGAGATCTCCTCTGCCGTTCTCAAGCCATTGGCGTGCCGCGGGGATTAGGGTGTGCCCAGGCACACC